TTATGCGTTCCGCTTCCCTGCTGATAATATCAAGGCATTTTTGTGCATGGTTCCTTGCACCTTTGCCATTGATGATGACCACAAAGTCGTCTGCATAGTTAAGAAGTTTGGCTTTTGGTAGCTTGAGCTTCATGAATTGTTCCATGAGACAGTTGAAGAGGAAGGGGCTCAGTATTCCTCCCTGCGGGGTTCCATTTTCCAGTCTCTTTGAGGTCGATGTTTTTCGTTGGAATTTGACTTTAGCTTTTCGGTTAAGCAGGCTTCCTTTGGCAAAGGCAAGAGCGTGTCCTTTGATTTCCTTACCCACAAGGCAGCACAGTGTAGCTGGAGCACTGGCTAACTCGAAGGTTTTTTCAAGGTCTAGAAAAATAAGGATTCCAGGTTTGGCATTGATTTCATCCAGGAGGGAGGTAAGGCACTCTGTGGTTCCAACACCTTTTCTCTAAGCAAACATATTTTGGTGCAGTGGATTGGCTTTCCATTCAATTCGATTAAGGGCCATTCTTTCTGCAGTTTCGGCCAGACAGCTTGTTAATGAGATGGGTCTTGGATTTCCTGGGTCTTTAGGTTTTGGAATGGGAACTATAATTGCACTGTTCCAAGAGAGTGGTCGAGTTCTTGTCACCCATACTCTGTTGATGAGATTCAAGAAGGCTTCTTCATCCTTTTCTCCTAGCTTGGCTAGCATGTTGTAAGTGATTTTGTCCTCGCCTGGAGCTGTGTTTTTAGTTTTCTTTGTAGTACTTCTGAGTTCTTTCAGATTGAAAGGTTGGTCTAGTTCGTCAGGTAAGGCTAAAACATCATCTGTGTTTGTTCCATCTTGCTGCTTGAAGTCTTTGTTGGTGAGTCAGAGTTGCTTGAGGAAGTTGAGTGGGACTGGCTCTGGAAGCAAATAGATTTGCTAACCTTTCTGCTTCTTGCTCTGGATGAACATGGTGCGGCGAAGCAGGAGGCGATTTTCCTTTGGCCTTGTTGATCTGCCTCCAGATATCGCCCAAGGATATACAGATATCGCCCAAGGATGTACAGATATCGCCCAAGGATGTACAGATATCGTCCAAGGATGTACAGATATCGCCCAAGGATGTACAGATATCGTCCAAGGATGTACAGATATCGCCCAAGGATGTACAGATATCGCCCAAGGATATACGCTGATTTAACTTGGTACACCCCTCGAGCCAATTTTCTTCTGATTTTTCTTCTTTGATATCCAATTAATTTACCAATAAACAATATATAAATTAGTAACAAAGTAGATGGTAAATTTGATGGTGATCTCATCGATAACAAGCTGAAATTTCCAGGGCCACATTCAACATATATCAAAAAAAGTTTCTAAAACTGTTGGCATGCTTTCTAAGATCAGATATTATGTTCCTCGCCCTGCCCTGGTGACTCTCTATTACTCTCTAATCTATCCATATCTCAACTATGGTATTTGTGCTTGGGGCTCTACTACCCAAAATCATTTACGTCCTCTAATTACTCAACACAAAGCTGCTATTAGGACAATATCCAACTCTGGCCCCAGACATCACTCGGTACCCCTACTCAAATCTCTGAATATGTTAGATATCAAGTCACTGCACATTCTCTCATGTGTATTATACATATATAAAACGCTGAACTGTAATGCCAATCCTGACCTTAAATGCTTCCTAGAAGGTTGTAACAGAACCCATGAGCATGACACTAGGAACAAACATTTGATATTCCAAGAGTATGACTTAAACAAGAAATGTTCTACAAATCAAGGGACCCAGAATGTGGAATGACCTTCCTAAACACGTCAAAGACTGTACCCCTCTCAACCAGTTTAAGATAACAATTAAGCACTACCTAATTAACTACCTGTAACCTACCTTACCTCCTTAATGTCAACCCATGTCTTGATATTTTCAAACATTATTGACTATTGACCAACTTATTTAACTGGTGATATCTATCATGTATAATCTTATAGAAAACTGTAATCTTCTGTTTATTTAGTTGACATTTCTTCTGCTGTTATATGCACAATATAATTATTATAATTTTTTTATAACTACCAACACCTGCTGCTACACTACCAACACCTGCTGCTACACTACCAACACCTGCTGCTACACTACCAACACCTGCTGCTACACTACCAACACCTGCTGCTACACTACCAACACCTGCTGCTACACTACCAACACCTGCTGCTACACTACCAACACCTGCTGCTACACTACCAACACCTGCTGCTACACTAACAACACCTGCTGCTACACTACCAACACCTGCTGCTACACACTACCAACACCTGCTGCTACACTAACAACACCTGCTGCTACTCTAACACCACCTGCTGCTACACTACCAACACACCTGCTGCTACACTACCAACACCTGCTGCTACACTACACAACACCTGCTGCTACACTACACAACACCTGCTGATACACTAACAACACCTGCTGATACACTAACAACACCTGCTGCTACACTACCAACACCTGCTGCTACACTACCAACACCTGCTGCTACACTAACAACACCTGCTGCTACACTAACAACACCTGCTGCTACACTAACAACACCTGCTGCTACACTACCAACACCTGCTGCTACACTACCAACACCTGCTGCTACACTAACAACACCTGCTGCTACAAACACACTAACAACACCTGCTGCTACTCTAACACAACACCTGCTGCTGCTGCACTAACTAACAACACCTGCTGCTACACTACCAACACCTGCTGCTGCACTAACAACACCTGCTGCTACACTAACAACACCTGCTGCTACTCTAACAACACCTGCTGCTGCACTACCAACACCTGCTGCTACACTACCAACACCTGCTGCTACACTACCAACACCTGCTGCTACACTAACAACACCTGCTGATACACTAACAACACCTGCTGCTACACTAACAACACCTGCTGCTACACTACCAACACCTGCTGCTACACTACCAACACCTGCTGCTACACTACCAACACCTGCTGCTGCACTACCAACACCTGCTGCTGCACTACCAACACCTGCTGCTACACTAACAACACCTGCTGCTACACTAACAACACCTGCTGCTAGACTACCAACACCTGCTGCTGCACTACCAACACCTGCTGCTGCACTACCAACTCCTGCTGCTACACTACCAACACCTGCTGCTAGACTACCAACACCTGCTGCTACACTACCAACACCTGCTGCTAGACTAACAACACCTGCTGCTAGACTACCAACACCTGCTGCTAGACTACCAACACCTGGTGCTGCACTAACAACACCTGCTGCTAGACTAACAACACCTGCTGCTAGACTACCAACACCTGCTGCTAGACTACCAACACCTGCTGCTACACTAACAACACCTGCTACACTAACACCTGCTGCTACACTAACAACACCTGCTACACTAACAACACCTGCTGCTACACTAACAACACCTGCTGCTACACCAACACCTGCTGCTACACTAACAACACCTGCTACACCAACACCTGCTGCTACACTAACAACACCTGCTACACTAACACCTGCTGCTGCTACACTAACAACACCTGCTACACTAACACCCTGCTGCTACAACCAACACCTGCTGCTACACTAACAACACCTGCTACACTAACACCTGCTGCTACACTAACAAAACACCTGCTACACACAACCCTGCTGCTACACTAACAACACCTGCTACACCAACACCTGCTACACTAACACCCTGCTGCTACACTAACAACACCTGCTACACCAACACCTGCTGCTACACTAACAACACCTGCTACACTAACACCTGCTGCTACACCAACACCTGCTGCTACACTAATAACACCTGCTACACTAACACCTGCTGCTACACTAACAACACCTGCTGCTACACTAACAACACCTGCTGCTACACTAACAACACCTGCTACACCAACACCTGCTGCTACACTAACAACACCTGCTACACCAACACCTGCTGCTACACTAACAACACCTGCTACACTAACAACACCTGCTACACTAACACCTGCTGCTACACTAACAACACCTGCTGCTACACCAACACCTGCTGCTACACTAACAACACCTGCTACACCAACACCTGCTGCTACACTAACAACACCTGCTACCAACCAACACCTGCTGCTACACTAACAACACCTGCTACACTAACACCTGCTGCTACACTAACAACACCTGCTACACCAACACCTGCTGCTACACTAACAACACCTGCTACACCAACACCTGCTGCTACACTAACACACTGCTACACTACACCTGCTGCTACACTAACAACACCTGCTACAAAAAACCCAACACCTGCTGCTACACTAACAACACCTGCTGCTACACTAACACACCCTGCTAACTAACACCTGCTGCTACACTAACACACCTGCGCACCAACAACTGCTGCTAGACTAACAACACCTGCTGCTACACTAACAACACCTGCTACACTAACACCTGCTGCTAGACTAACAACACCTGCTACACCAACACCTGCTGCTACACTAACAACACCTGCTACACTAACAACACCTGCTGCTACACTGCTACACACACCTGCTGCTACCCCAACACCTGCTGCTACTACACTAACAACACCTGCTACACCAACACCTGCTGCTACACTAACAACACCTGCTACACCCACACCTGCTGCTACTAACTAACAACACCTGCTACACCACACCTGCTGCTACACTAACAACACCTGCTGCTACAACCAACACCTACAGTAACTGCTGCTACACTAACAACACCTGCTACACTAACACCTGGCTGCTAGACTAACAACCCAACTAGCCTCGTTACAGTGCCTTACCTGAGTCCTCGATCTCCAGACGCTCCAGTAACCATTCAATCAGGTCGTATCCTGGAAATGTAAAGTTATTTATAAAATAAAGTTGTTCTGGAGGAAGCTTTATATGTGGTATAGCTCAGTGTTGTGGAGGAAGCTTTATGTGGTATAGCTCAGTGTTGTGGTGGAAGCTTTATGTGGTATAGCTCAGTGTTGT